AATTCTTTATTCTTACAGATTGTCACATGAAGAAAAGCAGCAGGCTGTAACTACTATAGTATTTGTTTTGTAACTTAAGACTGTTTATAGGTCCTGCTTGAATGTAAAGACATTCATATACAATATAGATGATGCCAGATACTTTGCTAAATTGGGATGGCATATAGAGTGTTTGAGGTAGAGGATGTAGCATGAAGCAACAAATTTGCCTTCTTGTAGCAGGATTCTGCACTTTTGTCCAATCATATTGGAATACTGCATTCAGTTCTGGTCACCATAATACAAAAAGATATTGAGATCCTAGAAAGTGCAAAGAAGAGCAACAAAGATTATAAGGGATCTGGAGGCTAAACCATATGATGAACGATTGAGAGAACTAGGTATGTCTGTTCTAACAAAGAGAAGGACTAGGGGTGAGACAAACTTTTAATGGAAATATCTTGAACTCATGGTTAGAAATCCAAATGAGTTCATCAGCCCCAATTCCCTGATGTAGGGAAATGATTTGACAAATCCATGGATTATGCCAAGTTACTAATAACCAAGCATGATCCATACTAACTAAAACATATTCCTTCTTATGTTTCAGATCCTCAAAGGCTGTGCAGTCTCCTTTCACAAGCAACCAGACTTAACATTGCCGGAATATGGAGCTTGCCTCACAGATACAGCTAACAAACATCAGCATCTCAAACCATACAGAGACCATGGCCCTTCTATCTCAGTACTCCTCTTCCTCTGATGAGCAGCCCCTTTACAGAGACTATCAGCCTCCACCTCTTGATTTCATCCCTGTGCCCAAGGCTGTGCTTTATATGCTCATGGCTGCCATGGTGATAGTGAGTGTGGCCTATGCTATTGTTGGTCATTTAATCAAGGACCTGGCTCATGACCTAGCAGGTAAGGGCAGTGCTGCTGAAGCAACCTCTTTAAGATGTACAGCTTTTAAATGCAAATTCTATGGCAAAAAAGCTAAGCTCATCATAACTATATAAACTAGGGGTGTCAAACTCAATTTCATTGAGGGCCTCATCAGCATTGCGGTTGCCCTCAGGGGACCGGGTGGGTGTGGCCAGGGTGGGTGCAGCCTACTGGGTGGGTGTGGATGGAGTGGGTGTGGCCTAGTGGGTGGGTGTGGCCAGCTCTACATCGTTCGCGTCAAGGGTGTCTGTGGGGGCCTGGGCAGGAGTGGGACAGATCTGAGGGTCTCTGGCAGAAGGGGTGGGACCAGGGCAAGTGCCAAGGCATGGTCCACTGGAGGAGCCTCACTGTTCCTCTCAGGCCATGCAGGGGGGGGGGCTCATGGAGCTAAGAATGAATGCGTTTCAGCATAGATGGCTACCACAAAATTGTACATTGGCTCCCGGCCAGCGTGGGCCAGGGCCAAGGCAGAGGGGGCCGTTCCCTCAGTGTTTCCAGGATGGCTTCGCGGGCCACATGAAACCACTTCGCGGGCCTTGTGTTAGACATGTCAAACACAACAGCATGGTTAACATGGTTAACAACAGCAATGGGAAGTGCTGGGATCACCATTACTAATTGATGTAGTCACCTGATGTCGTGATTTACAATTGCGTTGTTTAGTAAATTCTGGTCCCAATTCTAGTTGGGACTATAGGTAGTCCTTGACCTACAACTAGAATTGGGACCAGAATTTACTAAACAACGCAATTGTAAATCACGACATCAGGTGACTACATCAATTAGTAATGGTGATCCCAGCACTTCCCATTGCTGTTGTTAACCATGTTCCACAGTTGATAGCCAAGGACCTCTTCCAATCCAAGCCATTTGGGGCTTGGTCCTCCCAACCCTAGATTCTTCCAAGAGACGGATTCCTTTTCAACTCCTCCCAACAGCCCTTTTGGCCACCCTGTACTCTGCCTTGTGGGGCGGCAAGCAGTCCCAGAACTACATGGTTCTGGGGCTTCTTGCCATGCTACAACTCAGGGGCTTCTTGGCATGCCATGGCTCTAGGACTGCAAAAAACTGCTGAGCTGCAGGCCTGAAGCTTCAGCTGCCTCAGCTTGACCCAGCAACAAGACCCAAAGGGCTTCTTGTGTGCTACAGCTCTGGGGTTGCAAGAAGCTCCTAAGCCACAGCACTATGCAAAACAGCAGCTACTCCAGCCCAGTTTGACTGCAGGTCCCCTCATCACCCTACACTCCAGATCCACTTTGTGCTCTACAGCCCATCTGACTTTTGCTGTCTTCTTGCTCCACATAAGGCCATGTTTCCCAGGTGTTGTGAGGAGACTGCTGTGCATGATCTGGGGAAGAAAGCCTTATACAGCCAACAACTGCCTCACAAAGGTCCAGGCAGAGCATGTTTGATCATCAGTGGGAATAAGATGGCAAAGGTCAGTTAGGGTGGGAGGGCCACAGAATGTAGGGAACCAAAAGGGCCCAGATGGGGTGGGGATCAAGAGGCAGATGAAGGAACTGAAGCGCCCCTGTGGTATTTCATAAGTGCTGGTAGGCTGTGAAACACCCAAATTTTGATCATATGACTGCAGAGGCACTGCAACATTGTAACTTTGGGGACTGATAATAAGTCCCTTTGTCCAGCACCACCATAACTTCCAAGAGTTGCTGAACAAATGGACGTAAGTTGAGAACTACCTGTCTTATTTTTGAGTGGTATACTGATTGCTCATCGTGGGAAAAGGCAAGATACCATGTCAGGCACAGAAGACAATCACAGAATAATAATAAATCTTAATTAATTTTCCACTGGTTTTCTTTCAGTTATTATTACCTATGTTATTTCAGGAATATATTTAACCTGTTCTCTGTCCTTATACCATCTCAATATACAAAATCCAAGACTAACAATCTTTTTCTCAGTATGGTCAACTGGTGCTTAATATCTGAACTGAACTTCAGATATTCTATAAGACTTTCTTAAGACTTGTTCTCCAAGAATTATGTGGATTGCTGTGCTTCAATATATGCCTAATATATGCCTTTCATTACATCAGGAAAACAGGGACTAGATCTGTACTCAGAAATACTGCAAAACTAAATGGATGCTCACACCACCTAATCAGCTATGCTGTATTAGTGATCGTAAATATATGTGGTGTAATTCTAGAATCATGTTTGTTCTATGCCGTTCTTTAATGTATGTCACTTTTGAACATGATTATAAATCTGTCTATCCTGTTTTTGCATTAATTTGCACTTTCAAACACAAAGAAATATATTTTAATATGTTTTATGGCAAATATATATTTAATATACACTTTAGTAATATTTAAAGCCATACATTGCATTGCAAAACTTGAAGTCTAAAACAAGGGAATACATTTTCAAGTGTGGACCAAAGGGTATCCCCAGCATATCCATCACTTCATACTACTGACGCATACGAATTGTGGTCTTCTCCTCTTGCAGAAGTTGAGGTGCATGAGATATATGCAAGTTCATGTCATTTCTTAAGAGATGGCTTCAAACCCCGTACTCAGCTATGGGGCCCAGAAAATAAAAAAATCACTGCTCCCTTTGATCTACTCCTAAACTGTAAAAAAACACCATCAAAGAGCTTATCCCAAGTCTTTGGGAAGGACTTGATACGTGGGAAAAAATACCAAATCCAGTGTAAACATCTAGTTGATTGTGTGATGAACCGTAATAATAATTACTGTAAATTGTGTCATAAGTACTAAAATCTAGAAGAGGCAATTTTCACAATGAGTTTGATTTTAATGTGGTCAGGACAGATAATATCACACAGGCTTTGGATTTCTGAGGTTTGTAGGTTTTTAGGTTATTAAAAAAAATAACCAATGGCTCATATGTTTTGCTTTCCTTTCAACACTGGAGGAAATTTGTTCTTGATAGTTGCTTCTCCTGCAGAATATTTCCAAGATTTCCTGGAATTCCTGACCTCTCCCTTCCCCGAGTCAGACCTTTTACCTGACCTGGCAAAATGTAGCAGGAAATCACTAGAATTCTTCTGTTAAGTGCTGTAACACTAAAACTCAGTTCATAACTACCAATGAGCTACAACCATTAAACCTTTTACTACTGCAGAGATAGGAATTTAACTCAATTATCCTGACCTCTGCACTTTCAGTTAACTTACATGCTGTATTCAAGCATGGGGAATGACTATAATATGAAACTTGTAGAACACAGAGTTGCAGGAAATATTTCAAAGTCATGAAAATCTGAAGCTATTACAGAAATTTGTCTTATTTTATTATGACCAATCTACCAAGTTTCTTTTATTGTAGGAATTTACCTATAGCGTACCAATTACATGGTGTGGCTATGTATCATCTTTACTACTACTCAACAAAGATTAGGATAAAACAGAGTTTCTGAGGCTATTTGATATGCTCTCTTCGATTTCTTTTAGACTGCCTCTTAGGTCCACAGCCAGATGATCCAGAAAAAGAAGAACCAGAGCCCTCAATTGTTTCAGATTTCCAGCCCTCACTCTTGACCAGAATTCCCACCTGCACATGTTCCCCAACCCAGGCTGAGGAAGTACATATAACCCTAGAAACAGCTCTGCATGTGACATCGGGACTACAAAGATGAAGGCAAAAGAGTCTTACAGAACAAGACTATGCCAAACAAGGCTCCCAGAACTGAAAGGGAAAGTCTCATCATAGCAAAAAGAGGCAGGCTAAATAGGTGAATAAGCCATGGACTGCTTTGTTGTAGTGATTCCACCTTTTAACATCAGCCTAGAGACTGTCCTTCTGAAACTTAGTTCGTAATCAATGGTCACCAATCCTTAAGTCAAGCAGCTGCTGCTTTTTTCCATCTCCCTTGCTGGTTCACAGATTCACATTGCACATTAGGATTCTTTTACTTGTAATTGTTAAAAATAAAAAATTACCAGAACTTTACTGAAATGATGAAGGAAGATAGTGAGAAATCAATTTCTTTTTTCGTTTCAAAGACCTTGATAGCATGATGGCCCAGTTGCATTACAAGGAAACCAGATCACTGAAACTGCCCTTATTCATTTGAATTACCACATTCCAATTTCAGGTTGAGACATATTTAATATGTGCATAAATAAGACTGTGACTAGGAGAATCCATTCAATTTTGGTCCAAGATGTTCCTAAATAAAGACTGCATGCCTTCCCTATGGTCTTATTATTTTCCCTACAGGAACAAGCAGCGTAGAGTACAGGTTCAGTCTCCTCACTGGCAAAGAGCAGTGGCAATAAATAAGGAGATTTGAAGAGAGCAGCAGGTTTCCAAGCCCTAGGCATCCAAGCGGCAAAGTGGGCTGTCATATACCATCTGCAGATTGACTTTGTGACCAACTAATTCCCGGATGTTATTGATGCCATACTTGATCATGGTGGGTCTGGAAGAGAGCAGAGAAAAGTCTCCCAAAGAATTCGTTGGAAATAATTTAACTATAAGTGCACGCCCTTTCAAAATGGCAGACAATTCTGAAACAGTTGCTAACTACCCCCCTCCCCCATGCAAAAGACAATAATAATAATGCGCTGAGTTACAATGGAAACTCAAGGTAAAGGACAAGCAACACAAGGACAGTTAGAACGGAATTCGCAGTACTACATGCATCTACCTCCCCCACACCCACTGGGGATCTTTCATATCCCTACAAGGACCCATCCTTTGGACTGAAATCCTATGGACCAAAGCACTGATCCAACGTAGCCTGATCTAAAAAAACAACTATCTGCTGATAAAGTTTTAAAGGGTTGGTTACCATCCTTCCTATCCTGGAGATATTTAATTGGTTTAAATGTTAAATTTAATGGTTTCTTAAATAGGATTTTATTTAGACAAATGCTTATATATTGTATCAATATACTGTGTTCTGTTTTCTTTTTCCCCCAGAAGTACTCTTTAGTTCTCTTAGTGTACAATTTGTCTTTATTAGCTGAGATTGATTTTTAATAGTTATTCTTGTATTGTTTAAATACATCTAAATTAAAAATTACAAATTGAAGCTTCCTACAAATTAGTTTCATCTGCCTATCATCCTAAAAAAGTACAATATGAGTTATGGGAGATACTTCATAGTTTCTCTCACAAATATTAGTAGCCCTTGGCCTTTAGAGACTTCTAGCAGGCCCAGACAGCATAGGGCAGCTTAACTGACTCTCCAACTCACTCACCGTTCCAGAGATAGCCCCCAGGCAATGACAGACACCCCATCAGGCAAGCCCATAGGCAGCAGCATTTCTGGGCGGAAGACTCCTGAATTACCCACTTCCACCCATTTCTTTAATCCTGAAAGAAAATGGAAATGTCTATAGTTAAGCTGACAAAGTGGGAATGGGGGTGCACAAAGCCAAGGATTTCAAGTTACTGGGTAGACCTCAAGCCTGGTTACTGGAATCCATTCAGCACTTTCTGCTGGGATTCAAAGCAATGTAGAAAGGCAGGTCCCTCCCTGACAAAGAGAGGCAGAAAGGAATATGTCAGGTTGGTGGCTGAAAGGATAGTGTGAAGTGGTGTAAAACAGGACAAGACAGTCATACCCAGGTCTTGCCCAATTTTCTCCAAGATTAAATCAAAGACAGATTTCTTAAGCTTTGACCAACTCTACATCAAGCAAAATAAAAGTTCAGGTCCAAATTTTCTGATGTATTTGCATTTCGAAGTTGGTAAGATAGAGATAGAACACAAGCATCGTATGAAAGCTATGCTTCTGAAGCCTAAATTGCTTGGATACTAATTCTAGGAGTATTCTGTAGTATCTTTGGGTGCTAAAGTATCTAACAAACAAAACAATGGCAGAGAAGCAAGGTTCGATTATGTAGTTCCCAGGATTTAGAAGTTCAAGAATCCTTAAAAAAAATGAGATTTTACCAAAATGCAGAGAAACGGGATTTTCCTTCCTTCTTCATGCTCCTATAAGTTCTCCCCCCTTCCTCTGAAATAGCCTAAAATGAATTATCTTGTGGTTTTTAAGCATTTTTATTTATTTATTAGCTGACCAGCCACACACCAAAGAGAATATGGTAGGATATTTATTATATTTTATAAGGGCGGGGGTGGGAGAATGAGGCCTATGTGCTAAAAAAGATAAAATGCCACAATTTCAGCTACCCATTTAATCTGAAAGACTGAAAATGTTGTCACTGTGTTCTGAAAAGTGTTTTGTTTATGGGGGGGATATTTCCTTTAATCATCAAGGACCTCAAAGAAAGAGGAACTCCAACAAACAGTTGATGACAAAGTATGCTTTCAGGGTGTGTTAACACAGTGGAAAAGTGTCCTCACTTATAGGGTGTTCTCTAATTTTTTTGCAACTATATGAGTCATAAGGGAATTATCAATGGCTGAAATGAGAGCAGTTGGAATTCTTTCTTAAGACAATCGGCATGCAACTGATGCCTTCTTGACTGAAGTGGAAGCAAATATTTTCCATAGGTAAGAAAGTGAGCTGAAAACAGACTCACTGATATTTCCTCAAAAGTTACTTTCATTATAACCTGTACTTTTCATGATTGGTTCTTTACTGCCAAAGATATTTTGTAAATCAACTAAGTTATTTGAGAAGAGTTTAATTTGAAGAGGGAAGGGCCCTCAAATTCTGCCATAGACAAAGAAAACTATACTTCAACTACACAATTCCTTTGTTTGTATATATCCTTTAAAAAAAAAAACATTCACCTTGATGGTAGCTGAAAACCTCCATGCTGGGCTCTGTGTAAGGATTGTAAGCAGGCTTGAAGCGCAGTTGTGTGATTCCTGTTACATAGAAAGAAGAAGCTGGTTTCTGGGAACAAAAAAAATATCAGCTAAAAAGCTTCTCATCTCAACTGCTGCACTTTACCCTGCATGTTCACTTTTCACCATCTCTTACCCAGTTTGGTGAAGAATTCTTTCAGGACACCCATAAGGTCTCCTAGTGTCAAACAATAATCAGCCACCACACCCTCAATCTGATGGAATTCTGCCAGATGTGTAGCATCCAATGTCTCATTTCTGAAGACACGATCAATGGAGAAGTATTTGATTGGTGTAAACTTCTTCTGTAGTAGAAGCAATTATCATAGCTTGGCATTTTCATTGATTCAAATACCCAGTTTTATGCTTATCAAGTTCTACCAGCTTTAAACCCATGATTATTTTGTAACAAGGGTTTGCAATGCAACTATTCTTCAAAATACAAAAGAAAACTCCCTAGTATTTACCTGCTGTGCCAGCTGATAGAGCATCCGGGCACTGACAGCTGTGGTGTGTGTCCGAAGAAGATTCTTCCGAGCCTCTTCCAGTTTCCATTCATATTTGTAACTGAAAGGAAGGAAGGAAACAGATTACCATAAAAATGCATAAACTGAAGCAATTAATGTGAATCAAATGACTTGAGAAATCAGCATAAATGTAATTTCTCTGCAGAAAAAGAGAAAATAGTTGATCCACTGGGCCGAATGTTTAAAAATTCTGTCATTTCTATTAGACATTTGGACTTTTGTCCCTTACACAGCCCTGGCATATAATCTTGGTGGCACGGTAGTTAAAGAGCAGTATTGGCAGCAAACTCTGCCCACAGCCTGGAGTTCAATCCTGATGGGGCTCAAGGTTGACTCAGCCTTCCATCCTTCCAAAGGCAGTAAAATAAGAACCCAGACTGTTGGAGACAATATGTAAATAATGCTAGCATTGTATATAAATCTAAATGCTATTGCCATACAATAACACTTTTAATAAAAAAAATCCAAAAGCTGCTAGGATTTCACTACTGAATTCATTTGTCAGCATCAAGTCTCCCATCTTTGCCTCCCCTAATGTCACAGGATTCACAACAAAATATTTCCCTTCATGTTCTAGAATCAGTAACAAGAAAAAAGTCTTTCCATACCAGCTGTTGCCCTGAACTCCACAAAAATTATTTTCTACTGTATAGTTCGCGCACTATCAGGACAAAGCATGCTAATAAACTCACCCTTGAGAACCGTACCCTCCTTGTGAATGCACCCTCTTTACCTTCTTCAAATAATCCATGGGAAAGTCAATTGCTTCAGCAGGATCTGAAAGAAATTAAACTTGTAGAAAAGTATCCAGACGTGCGAAGGTTCCATATGCATGCAAAAAGAGCTGCCTTGATCGCTGTCCAGACTCAGGGCAAGAACATAAAAACCTATTGCAAAGTGAAGCTGATTATATTTCCCACAGAAAAATGTATGCCACATCCCAGTATATTTATAAAAAGCATCTTAAAAATGATTTCTATGGAAGACCCTAACCTTTTGGACCAAAGGATACATCTGCAATTATGTAGTAATGTGCATTACAATTTCTCAAAATGGTAGTCATACGGAGCATGCCCATTCACAAAATGATAAAAACTTTTGGTATGTATGGACTTTTAGTATAGTCCAAGGAAAGGGTAATTCTATGGAAGGGAAGGGACAAAGAGAAATTGGGATGGATATTTATATTGACTTCTGACCTGCAGTGTTAACAGCAGACTACATTGTAGGATTGCCATTAGCTCCTTTCTTATACAACTACATATCATTTTTACTCCTTCCTTAATGTTGGTAGGTTTCTCACATGGAACTGTTTGGTTCATATCCATAGCATGCAGACAACATCCTAAATCCTCCAATTGCTCATCCTCCTTTATTGCTCATTTTGTAAAAACACACTTAGAACAATTTAAAATGGCAGCTATACATTTTAGATGGGAACCAAGTGGCTCCTATATGCATGTGCTTGATTAGATCTCTATAGGAACTGCATAGGAGTCTGCAGCTCCAAATCAGCCTTAAAAGGAGACCAAACCTATATTCTTCGCCCTGGTATGACAAGAGATAAAAGTTGTTATATTTTAGACAAACAATGAAACCAACCCTTCATAAAGAAAGTGTCATGCTGATCTCGGGCTGGATGCTGCTGTGGTTGAAAGAGGGCATCAAAGTTCCAGAAGGAGCTCTCAATGAAATTATTGGTGGGCATTTCGGTGAAACTGAAGAGGGAAACAAGGTTTCAATTAAATATTAAGGGAACAGGTCCCATGACTAGCTTATACTCTGACATTAGCACAAGGAAAAACATCACAACGTAACCAGAATAGCCAGCAGAGGAGACTTGCTCTAGCCAAAGTATTCTGCTACTTCTCAAAGGAAATTATTTACACCCAATTAACAAAAATAAATTACTTGGATTTCCCTAGCAGCCATTATTTTGTATAAAATGTTAGTGAATCTCAAAGATGGGTATTTTTGAGTTGACTCTTCTTAAATTCTTCCAGCCAGCTGAGTAGGCATTTTAAAGGCTACCCACAGCTATATTTCTTCTGCCCAGATATTATTAAGTACATACCCCATTTCAAGGAAGATCTGCCGAAACTGAGTGCGGACCTTCAGCAATGGATGAAGATGGCCGCTTTCAGGCATAATGCCCAATGCTTCAAAATTGTAAGACTTGAATTTCAAATCTCTCCAAGAACCACTGCAAGGATGGGGAAAGCAGGAAGAACACGAGAAAGATAATTCATTTAGCAATTTCTTTGAGAACAGTTTCCATTTCAATAATACATCTTCATTTTTTTTAAAAAAATACCATATTCCTCATTTTTTAAACTTTACATAAAGGCAACACAAACACAATTGAAAACAGGGAGGTTAAGAATTTTGCCAGGAAGGGTCTGAAGCTATGAATCCATTTTAGCATCCTATCAGCTATAGGTCTATGATGGATGAAACTTGATTCTATATAGTGAAGCCAAGAATTCTGTAACCAAGATCCACACGCAGAAATCAAAAGCAAATTCCAGACAGAAATGGCAATTTGTAGGCCCAGGTCCAAGCTTAACCAGGACCATACTGTAAGAGAACCAGAGTTTCTTACCTCGTGATCATCTCTGGTGTAAGATCTGTTTCTTGTTTAGCAATAGTTGTACTAAAAGCACTTCCTTTTTTAACCCAATATGTCTTTATGGTCCTAAAATGAAATACAAGTTTTGACGTGTCATCTCTTGGGAAGAGGGCAGAATCATTCAAAGTTCTATTTCAAAGAGTATTCCATGAGAGCTTGCAAACTAGAGCAATTCCTTAAATTAATAAATCACATACACAGACACCCACACATTTTGAATGTATTCATACAATTCTACACTGAGCATGAAAGCAAATTGCCTTAAAAATTAATCAAATCAGGACAGAACATATGTGAAATGAAACAAATTGTTGGTGAAAACTCCAGAAAGAATGAATTATCAACACAAAGAGTAGAATTAATGAGAAAGACAGATCCATTCATCCATCTTCAAATCCCCATAGCCAAAGATTTATTCAGCCAGTCTCCCTGGGCCATGGTTCCTTGTTGGCAAAAATAAGAATGTAAATGAAGTATTTAACTGCAGAGTGACTACCTCTTTTCCTGAATGCTTTGCAACATTGTCCAAAACCCTAGGAAACATAACCCAAGAAACTTGTATGAAGAGCTTACACAACAAAAGATATATTGAGCGTAAGATCTGATAGGATTATAATCTACCCTTAGGCCATATTGAAGTGTTTATTTCATGATGAATATACATAGTATATCAAGCTACAAAAATTCTGTTGTGAAAATTTTCTATCAAATATTGTTGAAGAAGCAACAAACATGGGTAGCAATGGAGCAAGCAACCAGTTTGAAAGCAAGTGGTTGAAGCAGAGATAATTAAATGGGTAGAACCAGCTTACCTGAACAATATAAGCCCATCTTTGGAGATCTTTGTTTGAGTGCGTTTCCCCCCACTCAATAGGGAAAAATATTTTTCAGTGACAGTGCAAGGAAAAAGGCCTCTTTAATCACTACTCTATAGTTCTTTTAGCCTGGAGCCTTTAAAACAATCCATATTTTTCAAACACATTTTAATGTCTTTGATTGTGTACAAAAATCATTGCTGTTTAATGTGTTACTTGTATAATCATGTAAAAACAATTAACCTGTTTTATCTATTTAGGGTTTTTTTTGTTTTACAATCTAATTTAGTTAATCAACATTTCTGCCCAATAATCAAAGTTAGGGTTTAAAATAAGCATCAGAGTATGATATATACAATGCTTCATATCCTTCTTCAAGTCCTGCTATACTGAATGTAGCAGGACTAATTATTCTATACTTACTATATAAACAAACAACAATACAAACATAACATAATAAAAATAAACAGTACAAAAAGATAAAACAAATCCCATTACATTACCTGTGCTGATAAAAGAGGAAAACTTTCAATCCTATGAAGTTGTAAAGTGCAACAAGGAGTTAATTTGTTGGGATTAACTTCATCACAGAAATTAATCTCAACTCATCTCTGATCATTTTACAACAGATATTAGAGCTGAAACTCACACTTCTGCTAGGAGTTTTCGTTTTTTCAGTTCATTTCTATCTTTCTCCTCTAAACAGTTAGCCTCTCCCTTCTGAACTTGGAGCAGCTTCTCCCTTACGGTGTCCTGAACAGATTCCACCTTGGAGAGAAAGGAAACTCATCGTGGATAAAAGCCCAAAGTTCTCACTCTCATTCTGTTTTTCTTGGATGCAAAAGCATTAAGGCAATCCTGAATTTACTTAGTTGCTTCTTAAATATGTACTGCCTTTGTTCAACTGTGGAGGGTGAGGGAGCAAAAATATAACATGCTGCAGAAACAGGGACCCCACACAGATAGGAATTTTGATTACTCACTGCCTGGAATATCTGAGGGCCATTTTCTGAGCTCTTATCTAGCCGGATCCATTTGTTGGACATTGCTTTGCTGAACCCCACCTTTCCACTTGGCAGCTTCTACAGTAAAACAAGGAAAACATTACCCCATCAGATCAGAAGCCACACAATCAAATCAGTGAAAAAAGTAGTTACTTAAATTTAGATCCATGCTAAATACAGATCCACAGCAAATAACATCAAACAAATACTTTCTCAGTAACAATTTAATACAATAAATATAGAGAGACAAGATTTTTTTTTTTTACCATGAGTTCACTTTGAAGCAGACCCTCAGAGGGGATGCTGTGAAATACTCGGACCTCATGGCTCCCTTCGTGAATAATTTCTTGGCCCTCAGGTGTCAACTCCCACTTTTTAGATGTACGTTGCTCAGCCTCGATCACCTAAAAAGAACATCAAAAACATCTTCCTTGGCAAAAAAGTAGGGAAAAAGCCAAGAGTGCTGTGTTTGATAAAAGAATCATGTGGTTCTTAGGAAGTTTTAAAGTACCTCAGAACTTCTGCTGACCTGCAATGCCTATTTGGACTGTGGGTGAGGAAAAATAACATATTTATACCTAACGTTTCACAAAACCAAATGGCTAAAATCTATATAACAAAGCACATCCATGAACTTAGAAGATTCTAGCTTAGTTTTACTCCTTTTCTATCATTTGTAAGAAATACTTCACGTTTGCCATATAAAATGCCCACCTGTAAATTGAAGTCCTCTCAGTGAGAATTTGGCAACAATTACATGTAGGAATATTTAAGGACAGTCTGAATGCACATATATCAGTGCCAAATTCAATTATTAAGTTTTCTTATTAGCATATTTTAGAATAATCTTTCACTGTAATTACCTTTTCTGAGATAATTACTCTACAATCACAATAAGATCAGTATTAATCTAATGTAATTGGGGAACTGAAAATACCTATGATGAGGTTATGACTATCAAATCTAGGCTGCAAATGAGCATTATATGGAAGGAAAGAGTGATTCATTCATTATAACTCTGCAGCTATCTAGTGTCATCTGGTTGTTTGCAGCTCAGATTTAGTAGTTAAGGTACACGTACAGTCGTAATCCTTGACTTATGACTATAATTGAGCCCAAAATTTCTGTTGCTAAATGAGACAGATGTTAAGTGAATTTTGCCCCATTTTATGATCTTTCTTGCCACAGCTGTTAAGTAAATCACTGCAGTTGTTAATTTAATAACATGGTTGTTAAGTGAATCTGGCTTCCCCATTGTCTTTGCTTATCAGAAGATCACAAAAGGGGATCACATGACTGTGAGACACTGCAAATGTCATAAATATGACGCAGTTGCCAAGCATCTGAATTTTGATCATGTGACCATGGGGATGCTGTAATAGTTCTAAGTGTGAAAAACAGTCATAAGTCACTTTTTTCTGTGCTATTGAAACTTTGAATGGTCACTAAATGAACTGTTGTAAGTTGAGGAATACCTGTACTATATTTCTTTTTCCCTTGAAGCTCACAAGATAAATTAACAAGGAAAAGGCAAAATATTGGTCTTACATTAGAATCTAATGAAATTATAGCAATCTATTTAGCATTGCATATATAACCATACATGAAGAGGGGATTGACATATTCTCCAAAGCACCAGAAGGCAGGACAAGAAGTAATGGCTAGAAGCTTGTTAAAGAGAGATCCAACTTGGAAGTAAGGAGACATTTTCTGACAGTGAGAACAATTAATCAGTAGAACAGTTTGCCTCCTGGAGTTGTGGGTGCTCCATCACTGGAGGTTTTCAAAAACAGACTGGACAACCATTTGACTAGGATGGCAGAAGGTCAACTAGAAGACGTCTGAGGTCCCTTCCAGCCCTATGATTTCATGTTCTATATCCACCAAAGACACTTCTTTTACTGACTTTCTCTCCCATGATGATATAATACTGCTCCAGGAAACATGGACTATTGATGACCTTTTATTAAATGTATTCCATTCATTTTCTACTAGGATCAGGAACAAAGCAAAGCAAAGCATAAGGCAGCCCTAAGGGTCCTAATTTCCCCTACTCTACGTGCCATATCAAAGTTCCTCCCTTCACTCAAGACATATGCTATAGCTTTATTAATTCAATTCAATCAATAAAATCTCTTGTTATCATTTATCAGATTTATTTATCCAATGCTACACCAACAGCTGCACAGAACCTTTTTCAGCAGCAAAGATACTATAAACAACTGCTGGCATGCCAAAAAAAAGGAAGTCACAAAAAACACAATTCATTCAGACAGTCAAATCCAATGACTCAGCCTCTTTCGGGCACATTACATTAAGCTCCCAAAGAAATGGCCCAGCCACGATGGGCTGTCACATCTCAGTTTTGGAAGGCATAATTTCAAGAACTCTATATGGACACCTCTCTTGGAAGCGGATGCCCTAGCAAAATTATAGAAAATCTACCAATGTGAGCACCAGTGACAATGACAAAGATTAAGAATCTTGGGTGCCCAACTAAGACCAGGGAAGGCACCAAAAGACCTAATTCCTCCTGAAGTGATTAAAACAAATTTGGGCTTCTGGGCTCCCACTCAGGCATGCTTTTTACCTGCATTGATATCAATGGCTGAATACCCAAGAACTGGGGGCTTGTGATCATTTCCCATTGTTCCTATATATAAAAATGATAAAAAGGATGAACTTGCAACCAATCAGCCTCCTCAACATAATTAGCAAACATTATGCAAGATGCCTACAAGGAAATTCCAGAATTGGTTGGAATAAGAAAACATACTTGTAAAAGAGCAAGCCCAATTTAGGGAAGAACAATCCACCACTGACTAGTGCTTAGTGTGCCAATATCTCATTGAAAAATACTCCTCCTGCATCATTGCCTCCCTTCACCTTCATAGACTTCAAAGCAGCTTCTGACTCCATATCATAAACCAAACTATTGGAAAACTTGGAGAACTTTTTAATTGACTGACATTTATTTTATCTAATACATATGTTTCATGAAGAGCTGTCACTCAAAATAAGCTATATTTATTTAGCAATACTCTCAAAAACACCTACTGGCCTTAAAATAACACTGAGTACACTAGCACAGTATTGCAAGGCAAACTACTTAGAGGTAAACTGTAAGGACCCGCCTCAATCAGTTCTCCCAAGAAAGCAGAACTCTTGAAACAGCATCATTTCAAAAGAAACTTTTATTGGGAAGTGTTAACAGCAGGAATAGAAGGCAGAATCTGAGGATTTCCCGTGCGTTAACCAAGTAGTTAAAAGTGTCCATAGTAACCCCACCCTAACTGTCCATCCAGACAGTTCAAATAGGCCAATCAAAGTGATAAGGCGCTGCTTCCAAGGCTGTTAGGTGTCTGTGCTGTTTCTTCCCCGCTTGGAGGTAAGGCAGATGTCCGGAGGTACATTCCATTTTCACCCCGTTAGAGGCCCATCAAAGATAGAGCAAGAGACAGAGCAAAGGAAATACACATCGGCACCTCAAGCTTCCCCTTGCCCCCTAGGAGAATGGCAGAACCTGAAAAGAATAAGAAATCCCATGCACACAGAACATAGGGTTCTGACAAAACCCCCAAATCATGGCATTTGCCAAAAGATCCAAAAATCACAGAATTAAACAATCCTCTGTTTCAAATAGCTGGGAATAGTCCTAAATTGTGCTAGTAGTAGGAAGTCTCATGAGGACTACATTGCTAAAGAAGCACAAAGGAGTTCATCTGCCATCCTTAAACTACTCAAGATAAGAGGTAGCCACTACATTCCTGCAGCCCTTAAATTATTTGAAGCCAAGCCAACAGCATAATTTCTTTATGGTACCCAGCTAGGCCCCTATTCCAATTTTGCAGCATCAGAACCTGTTCCCTCCAAATTCTTAAAATAAGATAACCTTGTTATTTTTTACTGTGGGCACGACACACATCAAAAATGAAATTTAGTTGCCCGCTCTCAAAGTGAACACATGCATGACACACACCTAAACATACTATATACAACATATACATACTAGATTGGCCCTTTAAGCACCAAAATGTGTTTCTAATGCATCCTGAGACTAGAGATAGGCCTCATGAAAATAGAGTGTGCATGACCATGCTTAACTACAGGCAGTCTTCAACTTACGACCACAATTGATCCCAAAATTTCAGTTGCTAAGTGAGTTTTGCCCCATTTTATGACCTTTGTTATAAAATGACATGACATTTGTTAAGTGAATCATGGCAGCTGTTAAGTTAGGAACACGGTTCCCCATTGATTTGCTTGTCAGAAGGTCACAAAAGGGGATCATTCCCTTTGGGGGCTTTCTGATGGTTCTTTTCTTACAACTCTGAATAGCCTTGGACAGCACAGCCACATGGATGTAATCTATGAACAATGGTATTGGTCGGCATAGCCTTAGTCGGCATAGCCCATTGGCTGACAATGGGAAGTCCCGCCCCTTTCTGCCGCAAGAGATTGGGCGCCGCATCTACTCTGCGTGGCGCCACTCAGGGGCGTGGTCCGGCGCAGGTCTGCCTTCTTGCCGACTTACCTCTCCTAGCGCCTGAAGACTCTTCACGGCCCCGACCAAGACTTGGTGTTCCAGGCCAAGCGCTGCTGCTGCTTCCAGGCTGCAGAGTCCGGCTTCTCCGTCAGCTGCCACCTGCTCCAGCCTCTGTAAGAGTAACTCTGCTGGTGAACCAGGTCCTGTCGCGGCTGCCGCCATGGTGGGAGACATCTTTCCGACAAACTCTAATAAGACCTTCCGGTGGTGACCGGAAGCGGAAGTAATGACTAGCGCACAATTTTTAAAAACGGCTGCATAGTCTGTCTTTAAAGCATTACCGGCTTTTTTCCGCGAAAATCAGCGGGCTAGAAGCGCAGTCGCTATGAGATGACTCGCCTACTATATGCTCAGAGCGGGAAGTATTTCAGGAGTTAATGCTTCAAAAATTGTCGTTTCCGTTTTTTATTTAACATGGTTGGGCGCTCACTAAGCAAGCTAAATATCAGTATTTAGAAGCTAAATGTACACAATCTCAGGTAAAGCATACAGGACAATATTTCGTTACTGTGTATTAAAATGTGTTTCGTACAAAAACAGCCACGCAAAACATCCTTGCACACGTGAAAGACATAATTTTCCTTTGTTGAGCGTCTGTTTTCTTCAAAAACTCTCGTTGCGTTTCCTGGTATGTCTTATACCACCTCTGAAGGTAATATGTTCCACTGGTTAATTGTTCTCACTGTTAGGAAATTTTTCCTTAGTTCTAGGTTGCTTCTATCCTTGATTAATTTCCATCCATTGTTTCTTGTCTTGCCCTGCAAAGCCTCAGAAGGCAAGGCAAGAAACAATGGATGGAAATTAATCAAGGACAGAAACAACCTTGAACTAAGGAGAAATTTCCTAACAGAACAATTAACGAGAAGTTTTGGGTGCTCCATTACTGGAGTACTGTGGAGTATTGAAGAGACTGAGCAGTCACTTGTCCTGAATGGTATAGGCAGCAGTCCCCAACCTTTTGGGCAGCAGGAACTGGTTCCATGGAAAGAGGTTTTTCCACAGATTGGAGAGAGTTTGGTTTCATGTGCTGCTTGCATCCTGCAGATGGGGCTTCACTTATTTGTGTGGCCCAGTTTCTGGCATGCCGCAGACTGGTGCCAGTTCACAGACTGGGGGTTGGGGACCCCTGGTATAGGGTCTTTTGCTTAGCAATGTTCCAATATTTGAGGAGCTCCTACAAAGAAGAGGGGGGTCAACTTATTTTCCAAAGGACCAGAAGGCAAGACAAGAAACAACGGATGGAAACTAACCAAGGAGAGCAGTAACCTGGAACTAAGCAGAAACTTCCTAACAGTGAGAGCAATAAACCAATGGAACAGCTTGCCTCCAGAAGTTACTGGAGGTTTTTAAGAAAAGTCTGGACAGCCATTTTTCTGAAATGGTATAGGGTCTCCTGCTTGAGCAGGGGGTTGGACTAGAACAGGCTTTTCAACCTTTTCACTAATTGTACCAGTTTTAGGATACAGCAATATTTGAGTACCGCCAGTCGCCTAGCAAGGTGTCAAAAACTTGATGACCCAAAAAAAAGGATAAAAGTGATAAAGTACAGGTAGTCCTCGACTTACAACAGTTCGCTTATTGACTGAAGTTACAACGGCACTGAAAAAAGTGACTTATGACCATTTTTCACACTTATGACCACTGCAGCATCCCCAGGGTCATGTGATTTACATTCGGATGCTTGGCAACTGATTCATATTTATGATAGTCCCAGTGTCCCAGAATCATGTGATCCCCTTTTGCAACCTTCTGACAAGCAAATCAATGGGGAAACCAATTCACAACTGTGTTACTAATTTAACAATTGCAATGATTCACTTAACAAATGTGGCAAGAAAAGTCATAAAGTGGGACAAAACTCATTTAACAAATTTCTCACTTAGCAACATAATTTTTGGGCTCAATTGTGGCCGTAGGTTGAGGACTACCTGTACACCCACTTACCACATTTTTAATGGGAAACCTGTGCCTGTTTCTCTTACATTAACCTTTGCACTATTCTATCCCCTTTTCTCCTGGTTGATTCAAAGAAGCCGATAGGTGATTGCAGGGGCTATGGGGGGGGGTGCGGCTTCTGCCGTTGAAGTGGGGGCATAGGGGGGCATGTCAGGGTGTTGGTTATCCCCCAAAGATTCCCTAACCTTGGGTGGCAACAGTTACCCAGCACGAGGGGCTCAGGAGAAAGATGCCGGCAATGCTAACTCCCAAGATTGAGGGGCTCAGAGGCAGCTATAAGCAGGGGAGATGGGGGGAGGGCAAAGAAAGGAAATCAAACTTGATTGACAGGCAACATAATAACGCTGCCCCTACTCCGCAGAGGGCAGATCCTCATCATCCCCGGCCCGGCAGGGGTCTGCCTGCCACACCATTGCAGACAAAGGGGGGCTCCAGTGAGAAGGAGGAAGAGAGTTTAAGCAAGCTTAACAAGTTTAGTGGGGATCTCCCCCCCCAAATAAACGTGCTTCGTGGGTAACCTCCCAGCATGACAGAAGTGACCAAAACCTGCTGCATCCACCCAGCAGACGGGTGGGAATAGAATAAAAACCAAACAGCTCCCCTTTCCTGCTGCCAATCCTCAACAGGAATGCTCACGACAACAAAAACCTCGGATTGGGAAGAGCGCAGGCAGGCGGGCGTTTTGCTTGGCTGGTGGCTTGGGGGTGAAAGGGGGCAGCAGATCAGCTGGAGCAGTGTGCACCAATCCTGGGCTCTCAGCAGAGTCCCGGCGATACTTCACGCAGTTCCAGCTGACTCTCCCACAGCCGCAGCCGCTTCACCTCATCCACCTGTGCAGCCGCTTCACCTCATCCACTTTTACAATTTTTTCTACACTTTTTTACAGTGCTTTTCAATCCGTCATACGTGTACCACTGCCAGGTGCCGAAGTACCACCAGTGGTACGCATACCACCGGTTGAAAAGCCCTGGACTAGAAGACCTCCAATGTCTCTTCCAGCTCTATTCTATGTTCTGTGCTGCTCCTTAACCATTACTTAAGCCACTATCCAGGATGCATATTAATTTAGCTGTAGTTATATAGTGTGTTATGTGAATCAGCTCACTGAATTGCTTGAATTTAAAAAGCACACGGTGTAAATTATATTGTCATAATATAGTTAGTTTTAGTTCTCTTAGTATATTGTGTGAATCTAGCCATTGTGCTTGGTGAACTGGCTTATGGCTTAACCCGTCTATATCACTTGCAGAAGATTGTACTGTATTTTGTAAGTTGTGTTTTATAAATCTGGGCTTAAATTACTAATTGAATAGTATTTATATCCTATCTCCATGTTCAGATGAGCACTTACGATGACTAATAAATAACTCAATACAAAAGCTAAATACTGCTAAAAGATACATTAAAAGCCTATCAAAATCAATTAATCCGTACTGATTTACTAAAACCGAGGGAATATGGAGCAAAGAAATTCCTGGGCCAAATTATTGAGTTATGACTGAAAATCAGATTTCTAGATTATATGATTTAGTAAAAAAAATACTGAAAATCCTTCGCACATTGCACTAAGTGTGGTCTATAGAATAAATCATATTAAGCTAGATTCACACCACATAATAATATGGTTTATAAACTTCTTCAAAAGTGCTCCAAACAAAGAAATTGTCGTGATAGGAGTGACACATAATGAGAATCTCCCTCATTATTTTAAATTTGGTTTTCTTAGTGAAGTTCAGATGTTCTTCATCAGAGGGAGTTGGAGGCTGGGTATCTTGTTTTTCCAGTTAGTAGCAAAATTGTAATTGGGAAAATACTTTAATGAGAAAAATGCCTTGGAGTGAAAAATAATTAGCTTTAAGTATTTCACGATCCAATCCAATTTAGGGCATATTGCTGCTTTTAAATTTACGAAGTAGAAAAGATCCTGATTTCAAATCTTTTGAACTGTTCTGACTAGAGCATGTAGGTCTGTATGTTACAATGTTTGGTATTTATTGGGTTAAGCGCTGTCTCCTTAAGAGATGGCTTATGGGTAATATAGTTTAGCTAGTCAGCTATCTCATGTTAACAGGTATGTGGGAGGAGTTACTGAGCTCTTTACAGGATATCCTGGCCATGTGCCAGTTTGGAATGCCTTTGTCTGAGATAAGCATGGAACCACCGGAGGACTCAGATGGTCTCATTCCACGTTAGAAGTTGGTGTGGAGGAAGTATTAATTTCTTACCTATAAGAATGAACAGATGTACCATATCCAGAAGCAATAACCACAACTGCAAGTATTCTGAATAAAATATCTGTTTTATAATCATTCTTATTGAGTTTATCTGTATGATCTGGATTTACAAAGCAACTTAACTCTGGATCAGAACATGAACTATATGTAATAAAGCTTTTGCCAGTTCTAGATGGGAGATAAATACAGTGTGTGTTTCAGACGGATTGCTTTTACTGTACAATCACATTATTTTAAATCCTATGGTGGGTCCTAGCCAGTAGTGGGATTCAGCCAGTTCGCACCACTTCGGCAGAACCGGTAGCTAATTTTTTGTTGCCCAGGCCCAGAATGGACTTCTGGAAGTGGCATCCACAAAGAGAACCGGTTGGTCACATATTTGAATCCCACCACTGGTCCTAGTGATCAACAACAGTTGTCTTTTTTTTTATTTTCAAGTACCCAGGATTGCATATTGTGCAAAACCATAGTTTGTTTAACCATAGTTTATTGAATAACCACAGTTAGCTACATTTGTACATGCTAAACCAGAAATCATTATTCACATGATTTGTTAAGGTATTTAAAATTTAATAGCTGGAGCTGTCCAAGGGTTGGTGTCAGAACCCATTTCTTTAATGGGGTAGTTCTGTTTCCTTTTGGGTTCTTTCTGTGGGTTCTGTCATTCTCCTGGGGGGAGGGGGGAGACTCCAGGGAATGCATCATTTTTCCTTTTGCTTAGCTACAATATATCCTCTCTGCCTATCCTATCTGCTTGCTCTTTGAACTGTTTCCCCTTGATGCCAACCTGGGGTGAGAAAGGAATGAGCCTCTGGCCATCTGGCTTATCTCTCACTGTAGAAGAGAAAGGTGCGAAGACCCAACAATGTCTTTTTTTTTTTTCTTTTTTTTTCAATATAAAATTTTTATTGTTTTCCAAAAAAGAAAAAAACATCACAAGTATTACACAATATTATAATATATCCCACCCACCCCCCGGACTTCCCAAACCAAATCCCAGGCTAATATTCAAATATAGGTAAACAAATATTAATATCTCTAACTCCACAAACTCTATTTATAAACAATCCATCTCCTCCACANTAAACCCTTAATAAAGTTTACAACTTCAATTACTTATCAATTATGATACTTCAACCATTGTAAAATCAAAAAAACCTTTAAAGCCTTAATTCCCAACCATTCATAATTAAATCAAACAAATTCAGTTGTTATAACATCATTATCATAATAATATATGTCCAGAAAAAAGAGGAAAAAAAAAATACATTAACAGTAAATCTACATCCTCATTCATTATTAAATCAACAAAAAAGAAAAAACCTTTAAAACCTTTTTAACCCATCAGATAACATTTAATATCCAAGAAAAACCTTTTTAACCCATCAGATGACATTTAATGTCACATTTATACCTGACTCTGGCTTTCTTTCTATGCCAAATTAAACTTCTGTATTTGTTGAATTGTCCCACTGTGACTTGACCGCTGTGAGTTGGTCGTGGCGAGTTGTCCACAAGTAGATTCCATTGTCAAACCAATAAGAGTTGTCTCTGAAGAGTTGTCTTTGGTGGGCAAGGAAGAAGGATGCATACTGCATATGCAATATATGAAAAACATAAGCATTCTGCATTATAGAGTGCAAAAATAAAGTCTTGAGAAAACAAGCTTGACAGAAAGAAAAAAAAAGAATCAATGGACACCCTACACCAGGTGTAGGCAACAACAACAACAACAACAACAACAACAACAACAACAACAATAATAATAATAATAATAATAATAATAATAATAATAATAATAATAATAATAATAATAATAAAGTTGGAAGGGACCTTGGAGGTCATCTAGTCCAACCCCCAGCTCAGGCAGGAAACCCTATACGATTTCAGACAAATGGCTGTCCAGTCTCTTCTTAAAAACTTCCAGTGTTGGAGCATTCACTGCTTCTGGAGGCACCGCTTCCACTGATTAATTGTTCTAACTGTCAGGAAATTTGTCCTTAGATCTAGGTTGCTCCTCTCCTTGATCAGTTTCTATCCATTGCTTCTTGTCCTGCCTTCAAGTGCTTTGGAGAATAGCTTGACTCCCTCTTCTTTGTGACAGCCCCTAGACATTGGAAGACTGCTATCCTGTCCCCCCTCGTCCTTCTCTTCATTAAACTAGACATACCCAATTCCAGCAACTGTTCCTTATATGTTTTAGCCTCCTGTCCCCTAATCATCTTTGTTGCTCTTCTCTGTACTCTTTCTAGAGTCTCAACATCTTTTTTACATCGTGGTGACCAAAACTGGATGCAGTATTCCAAGTGTGGCCTTACCAAGGCATTGTAAAGTGGTATTAATACTTCATGTGATCTTGATTCTATCCCTCTGTTAATGCAGCCTAGCACTGTGTTGGCTTTTTTGGC